TCCAGACTTGACCCGAGCTCAAGCCCTTTGATACCAGCTGCTTTCTTTGCCTCTGATATAAGTCAACCACAACCAGTTGGCAAAGCGAAAATAGATACTGTATGAAGAGAGAATGGCACCAATATTGGCGGGCATCAATTGTTGATCTATGCCGTTCGCATGTTGTCATTGCTTTTTACAAGTCAAAATACTGGGATCCAAGCAATCATCGCTTGGCAATCGAGGATCCGTGAAGATACTGGTCACATGATCCACCTGCCGAACTGCATCTGAAGAATCGGCAAAACCGTTGCTCTGGGGTGGCACCAGGAACACTGCTCATGAAGCTTCACCTGCCAGAGTTCAAGGAGAGCGACCAGCTGTCGTACCAAAGCGGCCACTTCCCATGGACCACCTTGTGCTTTCGCTTGATGTCAGCGACAAACTCTGGGTTCATGGCCACCTCTTGCCTGCCAGCCAGTGCTGAAAGCTCAGTACTTACCCGCTATGCTCATTGCTTTTAGCCTTGCGATATCTGCTATCTTGGGCCTGTGATGCTCCACGGACTTAACATCTACCTCTGCTTCATGATCACTTGGAGGCTTCCCGTGGGGTGTCTTACCGCTCAGATACGTTGTTTTTGTCGGCGGCGCAAGCGAAGCATCGTTCACAACCACAGTTCGACACTGAAACGTGGGACTCTCTCAAGGGAGATTTCCCCAAATGACCTACCTCCGTTCAGGCCCAATCGCGCAGGCCTCATGCCCTCGGAGACAGCAATTTCTCGCATAAGCCCTCAGGGTGACCAGCAGAATGTGCTTGCATGGTTAGGGAAATATGTTCAGTTCAGGGATCTCCAGGGTGTTCAAATTTTAAGGATTCCAAGGATGTCTCATTTTGGCCTCCCAGAAGCCTTGTAGACCGATTCTTCTTGCAAAAAAGAACTGCGGTGTTCAAAAGCAGTTCGAGTGAGAGTTGGCTGAAAGTGTGCAAGTTCAAACAGTTGGTGGTGAAGTTCGCTCCTGGGTATGACGCAACAAACATGGCCAACTTGGTGGCATTTCAGGTTGCGTTTTCGGAGGGCTTACTTACTTGGCACTTGACAGCTCAAGGATGACGCTTTTTCATTCCTTTCGTCTGCAGCCGTTCGCTATCTACAGGCACGCATATCTTCATCATGTTTCTTCTTCTGGAGAGGGCGAGCGCTAGACTTTTTACCGAGGCCTAACATACTAACATAAATTATACCGGCATAGACCCCAGATAGCACTTCAAGAAAAGGATAGCATGGCAAGAGCGGGAGACAAGCTTGGGAGACATTTCACTCAAAGCGGGGAAAAGGATGGAAAAGGTAAACAAGACCTAATCATCTTATAACAGCATCCGCATCAAAGGCAGGCAAGAAAATGACAAGGCGGCAGCGGCAGCCAAGAGCGAAATCAGGAACAGAGACAAGCTTGGGAACCACGGCGGCAGCGGCAGCCAAAAGCGAAATCACGAAGGGAGACAAGCTTGGAAGACAAGCCGGCAGGGGCAGCCAAGAGCGAAATCATGAAGGGAGACAAGCTGAACAGACAAGGCGGCAGCGGCGGCCAAAAGCGAAATCATGAAGGGAGACAAGCTGAACAGACAAGGCGGCAGCGGCAGCCAAAAGCGAAATCATGAAGGGATACAAGCTTGGGAGACAAGGCGGCAGAGGCAGCCAAGAGCGAAATCATGAAGGGAGACAAGCTTGGGAGACAAGGCGGCCGCGGCAGCCAAAAGCGAAATCATGAAGGGAGACAAGCTTCACAGACAAGGCGGCAGCGGCAGCCAAGAGCGAAATCATGAAGGGAGACAAGCTTGGGAGACAAGGCGGCACAGCAGCCAAGAGCGAAATCATGAAGGGAGACAAGCTTGGGAGACAGGGCGGCAGCGGTAGCCAAAAGCGAAATCATGAAGGGAGACAAGCTTGGGAGACAAGACGGCAGCGGCAGCCAGAAGAAAAATCATGAAGGGAGACAAGCTTAGAAGACAAGCCGGCAGAGGCAGCCAAGAGCGAAATCATGAAGGGAGACAAGCTTGGGAGACAAGGCGGCCGCGGCAGCCAAAAGCGAAATCATGAAGGGAGACAAGCTGAACAGACAAGGCGGCAGCGGCAGCCAAGAGCGAAATCATGAAGGGAGACAAGCTGAACAGACAAGGCGGCAGCGGCAGCCAAAAGCGAAATCATGAAGGGAGACAAGCTGAACAGACAAGGCGGCAGGGGCAGCCAAAAGCGAAATCATGAAGCGAGACAAGCTTGGGAGACAAGCTGGCAGCGGCAGCCAAGAGCAAAATCACAAAGGGAGACAAGCTTGGGAGACAAGGCGGCAGCGGCAGCCAAAAGCGAAATAAAAGGGAGACAAGCTTCACAGACAGGCGGCAGCAGCAGCCAAGAGCGAAATCCCGAAGGGAGACAAGCTTGGGAGACAAGCAGCAGCGGCAGCCAAAAGCGAAATCATGAAGGGAGACAAGCTTGGGAGACAAGGCGGCAGCGGCAGCCAAAAGAGAAGTCATGAAGGGAGACAAGCTTGGCAGACAAGGCGGCAGCGGCAGCCAAGAGCGAAATCATGAAGGAAGACAAGCTTCACAGGCACGGCGGCAGCGGCAGCCAAAAGCGAAATCATGAAGGGAGACGAGCTTGGGAGACAAGGCGGCAGCGGCAGTCAAAAGCGAAATCATGAAGGGAGACAAGCTTGGGAGACAAGGCGGCAGACAAGCTTGCAAGACAAGCCGGCAGAGGCAGCCAAGAGCGAAATCATGAAGGAAGACAAGCTTCACAGACAAGGCGGCAGCCGCAGCCAAGAGCGAAATCATTAAGGGAGACAAGCTTCACAGACAAGGCAGCAGCGGCAGCCAAAAGCGAAATCATGAAGGGAGACAAGCTTGGGAGACAAGGCGGCGGCGGCAGCCAAAAGCGAAGTCATGAGGGGAGACAAGCTTGGGAGACAGGGCAGCAGCGGCAGCCAAGAGCGAAATCATGAAGGGAGACAAGCGTGGGAGACAAGGCGGCAGCGGCAGCCAAAAGCGAAGTCATGAAGGGAGATAAGCTTGGGAGACAAGGCGGCAGAGGCAGCCAAAAGCGAAATCATGAAGGGAGACAAGCTGAACAGACAAGGCGGCAGCGGCAGCCAAGAGCGAAATCATGAAGGGAGACAAGCTGAACAGACAAGGCGGCAGAGGCAGCCAAGAGCGAAATCATGAAGGGAGACAAGCTTCACAAACAAGGCAGCAGCGGCAGCCAAAAGCGAAATCATGAAGGGAGACAAGCTTGGGAG